CCGCTTGAACATCGGTGGCGGTGACAGAAAGCCGGTGTTGTAATCAAGAAGGCAAAGACGTGCATGCAACTGGCTGGCAACCAGGGGCGGTCGGCGCTGTTCACATCAGATGGGGCACACGCACCACTGCCTTTGTGTCCGTTGCCCCTTTAAATCTACCGATTTGGCCACTTCTGTGCTCATTTTGGTCTTTCAGATCACTTGAATGTACACCGCGCAGTCTCTGTCTCTCGTGGTAGCTTGACTTTCATTCTTCCCTGTGCCTTTCATTAAGGACTAAAAATACATGGTTGGCCTTTGCGGAGGTAGAAATGGCCCGGGGGGGAAATTCCAAGCTCAAGTATTTGCTAAAGGGCGCTCCAAAATGTACAGATCTTGGCTGGGCATCTCAGCTGAATTCAAGGGCTAGGATGTGGCACAAAGACAGAACTAGCACCAAGCCAAGCCCTTACAGGGCATTGCAGATCGACTTCTGTAATTGCTGGGCAGCTCCAGTCTGCAGTGGTTTAGTACCCTGGGTCACACGCTGAAGATGTAAGTCCTTCTTGGTGGCCTCCGAGCCCACCCCAGATCCTTCTCCGGAGCCTTGAAGTCAGCATTTCTCAACCCGTGGGTCGCAACCCAAAGGTGGGTGGCAAGAATATGCGAAAGGGTCGCAAACAAACCTTAAAAATAGATGCTCCTTTAAAGGAAAGAAACGTGGGAAACCATGGCTTTTTCCTTGCAGGCTGCAGCTCTGCCATGCCCCACGCACCCACCACCTGCCCCACACCCTAGGAGCTGTGTTTGGGGACAGGGGGCAGCAGGCTGGGAGTGGGGGGCACTGGGTTGGGACTGGCCATAAACATTTACAAAGGGGTCCTGGTACAAAAAAGGTTGAGAACCACTGTTCTAAGTGAACTCGAACCAAGTATGTGCCTCCAAAAGGCATAATGGTCCAGGAATCAGAGGCAGGGGTTCGAAATCAGGGCTCCCGGCTTGTTTCCACACCTGGGATAGCCAGTGCTGGTAGTGCCTAGCTCTGTGGCATGTGTGTCAACAGCAGTGCTCACAAACAAACAATCAAAAAGAAAAAATCCGTGTCCCCATTTTACAGATGAGACAACTGAGGCACAGAGCAGGGCCACAGCTGCTCACAGTGGCAGACTCAAGCCAAGAAGTCAGGTTGCAAATGTGGGCAGGATCACGGCCTGGGACTCGGGACACCCTCCAGGGCGAGCTCCTCGGGGGAATGGGGGGGGTGGTGACACTGGCCCTTTAAATGTAACCGCGGCCTCCTGACACGTTCCAGCGCTGAGCGCTCAACCGAACTGGACATCCAAGCCCCGCCTCCCCTCGCGGTCTATTGGTCGTCTGGCGTCCTCTTCCCGCCTTCAACAGGGAGGCCAGCCAGTCACCGCGGGGAACTGGAGGACAGCAGGTTCGGATGTGGAGGCGGCGGCCGGACTGTCCGCGGAGGACCGGCGGGTTAGTGAAGGGTGCGGGGGCCGAGCTGGACGGGCCATTCCTGCCCGTGAGGGGGGAGCGAGCTGGAAGGGCCCATTCCTTCCCTGCGGGGTGTGGGGGAACAGCGAGCTGGACGAGCCCATTCCTGCCCTGCGGGGGTGGGGGCGAGCTGGATGAGCCCCTTCCTGCCGGTGGCGGCAGAGCTGGACGAGCCCATTCCTGTCCGGGGCGAGCTGGACGGACCCATTCCTGCCCCGCGGGGTGGCCCTGTGCGGAGCGGGGGGCGAGCCCAGGCCTCGGGGGGGCGGTGAGCCTCCTCCCCCCCGGCCCATGTAGTCTCGCCCCTCCCCCCCGCGGGGCAGGTGGTAGCGCCCCGTGAGGGCCGCTCTGTGGCCCCCCGCCCCGGCCCTAGCCGTTGTCCCGGGATAAGGTCGACGCGAGACAAATAGGGGCGGGGCCTGGCAGGTG